AATGCCTAACACCTTCTCCCGGATTAACAGAATTCCTTATCCGGATTTCTGGTGCGCAGACTGTAATATAGAGTCATTATTTTCCTCGATTCGGGATTAAAATTGGTGACTTGGGACACCCTAAAATCTCCCAAGTGGCGACTCTGAAATAAATAAGCAAATCCCGTTTCTATTGTCCTTTAATTGGAAAAAACTCCCTTGCGCCCTCGCGGGTGCGTAAAAAGGAGGTGTGACAATACACATTTGATATAAATATGATACATATGTGATACACAATGTGATACACCTATTATTTTTCATGTTCATCTTGTACTTCGAATTTTCAATTCAAACCACCACAAAACTCCACCAAATCATCTCAAAATTGAGATTCAAGCTCCTTAAGATGCAACCAATCTATTCTAATAACACCCACTCAAAAGAAAGTAAAAATTTGTTCTTTTTTTGTCTACAAATATCTAATTGACTAATATTGATAATATTTGGCTAATATTAATAATATTTTATGAATTGAATAATTTTTGTAATAAACTACTTATAAATGGACAGTATTTTTCCTTAAATTAAAGAAAACTTTTCGCAACAGAACACTTCCAATTTTTTTTCTTTTTAATTAAGAAAAAAGAACTTTGCTAGAAAACGACGGTCCAATATTACTATTACTACTCATATAATCGGCCAACGAGTCAACCACCAACTTATACTTTACGGCACAAATAGCAATAATTGCAAAAAGAAGTAAAAGGGTGCAAGTTGCTTTTATAGGTGGGACAGCCTTAAGAACGTGAGTAAACGCCAGTAAAGGAATTCGTTTCAACGAAATTTTTTGAGATCCCACACATTTGACAATTGAAATTCCACTCAAATTTTGCCCGATTTAAGCTTTATTAATAGACTTGTAAGTTGATGTTAATTTACATATTTTTTATTTATTTGGGTTTGAGACTAACTATGTTTAGCTCAATTAATATATGAAATTCAACTAATAGGCTTAAGGAGTAGTCTTGTTATTTAATTGTATAGATTTTCGTTTAAAAAGATTTGATTCTCCCTCCTAAACCAAACGTGAACCTCTCCTGAAAACTTTCCTTTTTTCCTTTTCTATGACAGTGTGATTAGGAGTAACAATTTGAGCTCAAACCTATTTTATCCGCTCAAGGTTTGGCTGGTCATTGACTCGCCTATTTGTTGAACTCAACCTATCTTCACCTAATTCATTTAAGGAATTTTTACCTATTTATATCATATATCAAATTTTATTACCAAAAATATTCATAATTTGTTATTTATCCGTGTAGTCCACACTTTTACTACAAATTATATACCAATCCAAAAATAGGTAGATTTTGCCATTAAAAAAGCCCTAAAATGAAGGTACCAGATCTGATGTGATCCTGCCAACGATTTTATTCGAATTTTGAAACTGAAGGAGATCTCTCTTCCTGATGAAGGCACCAGATCTGATGAAGGCACCAGTTGCGTAATTCTCTCCTTCCTCAACAGAAAGAGATCTCTCTTCTCTCACTCAACTACATTTCTAAAAAAACGCAAGCTACTGAAGCTCAATACAAATTGTAGAATACAAAATTTCTCTTCGTCGATATCAGTACTCAAATTGTAGAAACTATATCTGTTCTTCGTCTTTTTTTCCTATCAACTACACGAAATCATGTCAAAAATCCCAATAATGCTGAAATCGAATGGTAATTGGGATAACTATGGCAGATTTAGAGATTTTGAAGTTGATGCCATTGTGGTAGATGATAATGCAAGCTACGGAATTCTCAGTTCTACAATTGCAGAACAATTATCGATTGATATATCGGATAAAATTATAGAAATCAAATACATTGTGAACGAGAATTGTCCTCCAATGGAGATTAGGAATGATATAGGGGTTCGTGTGTACATGGAAACCAAAAAGGAGAATAAAAACTTAGGTTCGTATCCTTTATGTATAAGCGTAAGAGATTTCAATATGGAATTGGCAATCAACAATGAAAGCACCAGTGCAGGTATGTTTGATTCGACATTGCAGAGAGTTATGGTGTTACTATGTTATCTACAATATTACTACAATTACCTACAATTAAACTACAAAGCTCACATAGTACTGAAAAGGATAAAGCAATGTTGCTTTCAAAATTATCTACATAGAAACTACATTTATGAATTTATTGTTTGCAGGTTCGTCTGGATCCCTAAACTTACTTGAATTTCCATCCTCACCAGCTATAGAGGAATATCAAAGTGAAATAATAACTGAATCTACGCAAACATATATTGAAGAAGGACAAGTTTATCAGGACAAGCAAACAGTAGCTGCTGCAATGAAGAATTATTCAGTGATGCACAAGTTCCAGTTCAGAGTAAAAAGATCTAGTCATAGAAGGTATGTAGTTATTTGTGGATAATATATCAGCAAAATCAGTGTATGATTGAAGATAGGTGGGTTTTATAAATTGTAGTTAAATTGTAGTCAGTTTGTAGTTAATTGTAGTTTTTTCATAAATTTGTGTAAATATTGTATTTCTTTTGTAGCTACTGGCTTATATGTGTTGCTGAAAGCTGTAAATGGCATTTCAAGGCAACGTCAATTAATGATTCGGCAATGTTCAAGATAAGAAGTTTCAGCCGTCAACACACATGCTGCCTAATGGACGAAACATTCATACAGCGCAAACGTACTGCAGCAGTACTTGGTAGCATGGTCGTTCCAAAGTATTGTGATCCTAAGACTGTTTACACACCAAAGGACATACAAACTGACATGTTATCCGAACATGGACTGAACCTAAGCTACATGCAAGCATGGAGAGCAAAGGAAAAAGCTTTACAGTTTTTGAGAGGGAATCCGTGTGACTCCTACAACAAATTACCCAAATATTTTTATATTCTTGAGAAGAATTATCCTGGTTCTGTTGTTAAATTGAAGAAGGCAGCAGATGATTGCTTCTTATACGCATTTGTTGCTCTTTGTACATCAATAAATGGTTGGCAACATTGTAGGCCGGTAGTAGTGGTTGATGGGACATTCTTAAAGTCAGCCTACAAGGGGATTATGCTGACAGCAAGCACCATGGATGCAGCAGGTAAATAATGGAATAATTTTGTACTTATTTTGTAGACAGTCTTTAAAATGCAGTTAAATTGTAGTTATGTTGTAGTTATTTTGTAGTTATATAAAAGAATGTAGTTAACTTGTCTATATTCTCAATATATATTGTAGTTGTTATTTAATCATATTTTATGTCTTAAAAATGTAGGTACTATTTTTCCCTTGGCATATGATGTGGTTGATTCTGAAAACGGCGTGTCTTGGAAGTGGTTCTTTGAGCAATTCAAGGAGGCATATGGTGAAAGACCTTCAATGTGTTGTTTCAGATAGGCATGAGAGTATACTGAAGGCAACATCAGTTGTCTATCTGGACATGGCACACTACTCTTGCATGTGGCATATATGGACAAATATAAGGTCAAAATTCAAGAAGAGACATCTACAATTACATGAATTGTACTTTGCTACAGCACGGTCATACACTCTGGATGAATTTAATGAAAGGATGTTGAAGATTGAAGAGGTAGACCTGCGTGTAAAGTCTTACCTATATGATATTGGCTATCATAGATGGTCAAGAGTACATGCAACGGTGAATAGAACTTTTACTATGACGTCAAACATTGCCGAGTCGTTGAATGCTGTAACAAAAGACGCAAGAGAACTGCCAATATTTGATATATTTGAGTATATAAGGACTCTTCTTGAACGTTGGACAAAAGAAAAGTTATCGAAGGCAAAGGGTACTTTCACATACCTTGGTCACAAATACAACAAAGAATTGGAAGACAACAGTACATTATCTCAGAAACTAAGGGTAAGATATTTTTTTTTGGTGCAGTAGAATAAAAAAAGTACTAACTGCAGTGTTTCCAGATTGTAGTTAAACTGTAGTCAAATTGTCGGTAATAATAGTTTGTAGATGAGCTGTAATATATTTGTTGCTGATTTGTAGGTAAATTGTTGATAATCCATTTTAATGATTGATGTATTATTATTTCTGTTTGGTCTTCAATTGTAGGTGAGGGCTTNTCAGCCTACAGGGGGATTATGCTGACAGCAAGCACCATGGATGCAGCAGGTAAATAATGGAATAATTTTGTACTTATTTTGTAGACAGTCTTTAAAATGCAGTTAAATTGTAGTTATGTTGTAGTTATTTTGTAGTTATATAAAAGAATGTAGTTAACATGTCTATATTTCTCAATATATATTGTAGTTGTTATTTAATCATATTTTATGTCTTAAAAATGTAGGTACTATTTTTCCCTTGGCATATGCTGTGGTTGATTCTGAAAACGACGCGTCTTGGAAGTGGTTCTTTGAGCAATTCAAGGAGGCATATGGTGAAAGACCTTCAATGTGTGTTGTTTCAGATAGGCATGAGAGTATACTGAAGGCAACATCAGTTGTCTATCCGGGATTGGCACACTACTCTTGCATGTGGCATATATGGACAAATATAAGGTCAAAATTCAAGAAGGGACATCTACAATTACATGAATTGTACTTTGCTACAGCACGGTCATACACTATGGATGAATTTAATGAAAGGATGTTGAAGATTGAAGAGGTAGACCTGCGTGTAAAGTCTTACCTATATGATATTGGCTATCATAGATGGTCAAGAGTACATGCAACGGTAAATAGAACTTTTACTATGACGTCAAACATTGCCGAGTCGTTGAATGCTGTAACAAAAGATGCAAGAGAGCTTCCAATATTTGATCTATTTGAGTATATGAGGACTCTTCTTGAACGTTGGACAAAAGAAAAGTTATCGAAGGCAAAAGGTACTTTCACATACCTTGGTCACAAATACAACAAAGAATTGGAAGACAACAGTACATTATCTCAGAAACTAAGGGTAAGATATTTTTTTTTGGTGCAGTAGAATCAAAAAAGTACTAGCTGCAGTTTTTCCAGATTGTAGTTAAACTGTAGTCAAATTGTAATTATTTTTCAATGACTTTGCAAATACTGGCTATTTTTGAATGATCAGTCCGAAAACTGACTAGTTCATGCTATTTTTACGAATTTTTGACATTATCACGTGCTTCTAGTTGTCGTTAATATGGAAAGTGGGCCAACAGCCCAAACATGAAAACGCAGCATTGCCATTTCCTTGCCCTTATTTTAGTTGCCTAACGCCTTACGGGTTTGTTATTCATCAACCATCTCTTAGTTGGCGGCAGTTGGAGTGTACAAAAGAAACTAACAACTCGTACCAATCTGATAATTCGATGGTGTTGGAAAAAAAATCCGATCATAATTGGTTTGGTTTCGATTTGACTTTGGTTTGGTTTTAACTAAAGAAAGTCAAACCGAAACCAAACCAACCCGGCATTACATATATATAAATTTTAGATATATTTAATATATAAATATACTTATTGTGATGTAATTTATAAATTTTTATTAAAAGATTTTATAATTTTATTTTTTGAGTAAGTTTTATAGCCATTAACATTAGTAAATTAAATAGTGCTAACAAAAGTCCAAACCAAAATCAAATCAATACTAATTCTAATAAAAGATATTTAACTCAATATTACGAACGAGAATGTATTGAATATCTATTTTTTGTTTTGCAATAATTTAGATAAAAATGCATAACCTATTTTTATTTTTTCTTTAGCGTTTAGTCATGTATTTAATAATCCCTTATTAGTCTACTTATTTTAGCATGACTTAGTACTCTTAGATTATGTTTATTTTTATTATGGCTTTTTAATTAGCAATATTTATATTACATAATTTTATTGTCTTTATTGTTGAATATTTTAGGATAATGTCATGGCAAATCTCATATTTCTTATTATTTTCGTGGAAAATACTTTATATAGTTGTATCTTACTAGGACTAAAGAAATGTTTTGAGCATAATTTATATGTTTTGTTCTACGAAGATTTTATCGGAAAAAAACCCGAATAACCCGAAAACCCGAGAGTGAAAAACCCGAATTTTATTGGTTTGGTTTGATCTTTAGATTTCATAATCCGACACAATTAGTTTGGTTTGGTAATTGTAAAAGCCGAATTAACCCGACCTATGTCCACCCCTAGCGGCAGTGACACAGCCTTCACTTGTTATTCTCCTGGTCATATTTTTGTAGCTATCTGAAAATTATTATTTTTTCATTTTATATTTCCGCGCCCATGACTTTGTTGAGTATAACTTATTTATCAAAATTTGCTTTCAAATTTGGATAACAGAGAAATGTTTCAATAGTTTTAACGAGTTATTGTTTCAGTAGTTGTATTCGCTCAAGTCTCCTTAGTTGAGGTAGAGTGCATCGGGGGAAATAGTCTAACTTTTTTGTGTTTTTAGATGATATAACAACATATCCAATATATTTTTGCAGGATTCGAGGATGATAATATACACGCAGATTTTATCCCTATTTTGTGAGATAGATAGATTGTTTTCAATACATCTTTGGAAAAAAAATAATAATTTACAGCATGTTTGAAAAAATAAATAGTATAAAAAGTCATGTTAAAAATAATGAAGGCAAGAAAATTAGAAGCCATTTATATCAATCATTTAGATTGATATAAAATGCACATAATCAACTCCAAATAAATTGAGGTATAAATAATTGGTTGATCTTTTATTAAACTACATTAGGAGCAATATTCAAAAGATGGGGGCCTAAAACGAAACATTTTACTTAATACAAAAGAAGAGCATAAGGCATAAGCTCAATTGCTTTTGCTTCCCTCTATTCACATGTCCATTCTATCTCCTTAAAATTGAAGAAAAAAGATAAAGATAAAGATTAACAAAATCCAAGATCGCGAGATAAAGTTTGATTCATTTAATCATACTTACATATCTTCAATTTCTTTCTTCCTAATTAACAGAGGCGGATTCAGAATTTAAATTTTTGGGGTTTATCTTTTAAATTTTTTAGCATTGAACTCATTATATTTTTAAATTTATGGGTTCATATCTACTATTTTACAATTTTAATGAATTTTTACACATAAATTTTATTTTTACTCTGCATCGAAAGTTATGGGTTCAATTGAATCCTTCATTAATACACTATATAGGCCCCTGCTAATTGAGATTCATCAAAAACTTTACTGTAAATATCCAATAAAATTAAAGGCTTGATCAAATATTAATTGTGCTTAAAAGTACTTAAATTGGTTAGCTAAATACAAAATGTAAAGCACTTTTAAAAAAATATTTCTAAAATAAGATAATCAAATATATTATAATCGAAATAGTAGATGCAACTCGATGCACTAAGGTTCCGCTGTGCGCAAGGTATAAACAATGATCAAACTATAAGGATCTATTTTACACAATAATACCTTTTATTTGGACACGTGTTAGATGCGTCATACAAAAAATCTCCAATTTCACTCGAGCTGCAACCCCTCCATCGATCAAAATAAACTAACATAAAATAAAAATTACAACCCCTTACTTTTCCAATTTGTCCTATTTGCCCCGCCAGATGTGATTCCATAAACTCATCAAGAATATAAGGTACCAACTGAACCAGAACCCAACAAAAACCTCATAAAAATATTGACCTGTCCTCTTTTTAGCTAGCTTCTATACACTTGTTCTATTCTAAATCTCCATCTATATTTCTCCCTCTTCCTCCATAGCCAATTTTCAAGATTCCATTACAGTTCTACTCAAACCCCATTTCACTACAAACCCTTTTCAATGTTGCCCTTTAAAACAATCCAAGAGGCAGAATCTGCCATTGGAAGATCCCTTACAACTCTAGAGACAATTTGGTTCAATTACTCTGCAACCAAATCTGATTACTATCTTTACTGCCATAATATCCTTTTTCTCTTCCTAATCTTCTCTTGTGTCCCTCTTTATTACCTTTTCCTTGAACTTTTCTTCAGAAACTCTATTCAGTCTTATAAAATTCAACCAAAAGTCAATCTTTCACTCTCTGAGGTGTTCAATTGTTATAAGTCTGTTATGCGTATGTTCATTCTTGTTGTGGGTCCCCTTCAGCTTGTTTCTTACCCCTCTGTTAAGGTAACTTTCTCCATTTTTCTTTACTTTATTTCATAGTTCTGCTAAAAAAGATGTCTTTTTTGCAATGTATTTGATGGGGTTTTGTTGAAACTGAAAAAGGTAATTTTTTTAATCTTTGGATCAATGATTTCAGATTGAGATACCCTTTTTTATCTTGCTTATTTTACCCAGAAAATTTGTCGTGAATTGTAGCAATGTGTTTGATTGAGTTGTTAGTAGAGAAAAAAAGAAGATAATCTTTAGTGTTAGAGAGTACTCATAATATTGTTAAGTATAGGAATGAAATAGGTCTAAATAGAAAGAATCTCTAGTGTTGTTGGTTGATTGAGTTTTGAGTATTGAAATTCATGGTTTTGCCTTAATTTTAGATCAAGGTTGTGAAATTGAGATACTCATTATGATCCTTTTTTGTGTGTGAATTGTGGCAATGTAGATGGTTGGGATTAGAACAAGCTTGCCCTTGCCGTCGTTATGGGAAATTTTGTTGCAGTTGGGCACATATTTTATAGTGGAGGACTATTTTAACTATTGGATCCATAGGTTCTTGCATTGTAAATGGGGTTATGAAAATATTCACAAGGTTCACCATGAATACACAGCTCCAATAGGCTTTGCAGCGCCGTATGCGCATTGGCTAGAGATTTTGATCCTCGGGATCCCCTCAGCTATTGGGCCTGCTATTGCGCCTGGTCATATGGTTACGTTCTGGTTGTGGATTGCGTTGAGACAGATTGAAGCTATTGAGACTCACAGTGGGTATGCACGCATGCGCTTTTGCTTTTGATTATTCACACTATGGTAGTACTAAAAAGTTGCTTTTTTGGTGATTAAGTGTGTGATTATCTTCTATGATAATTTGACCAAACTATGGGTTAACAGTAACAATTACTATCACTTTATTCCTTTTCCCATTCACTGTTTGCTTTTGTGATCTCTGAATGAATCTGTATGCAGTGAATGGAATTTCATGAGATTTCTTTTTAAGTCAAAATAGTACTGCTTTTTGCATATAGTAATATTAAAGTTGTCTTCTTTTTGTTCCTTCTTTCTCTGTTTCTAAATTTTCATGTAGGTCCTTTCCCTTTTTCCCCCTTATCCTCTTTTCTAGTTTCTATTGCTTCCGGTGGATGCTACCGGAAACAACCTATCTACTGCACAAGGTAGGGGTAAGGCATACACACTACCCTTCCCAGATCTCTATTTGTGAGATTATACTGGGTTTGTTATTGTTATTGTTGTAGCATTGCTTTTGGTGGATGGGGATGGGGATGCTTGTGTTAAAATTATGTTTAAGTGGTGTTTTTAGCATCTGATTTTACAGTTAACATGTTCTTGCATGTGAATAAAATGCAAACCCTTAGAGTCGAGATGTCAGTAACTTCTCTACTTTTTGGATTATCTTTTATATTATATGATAACATTAAGAAGAGTTAACCATGAGGTCTTAGGTTCAAATCCCAGTGGAGGGCCGGGAGGCAAAACAACACTAAGTAATTTTTTCCCATAATTCCATCTGCCTAAGCCTTGGAATAGAATGTGATCGATTAAATAGCAAAACTTTCTTAATACGAGCATTTTGAGACTCACGTCTTGCTTTCCATTTATCAACTTCTTATCTCTGATAGTTGGTCTTGGTCCCATTCTTTTGACATCTTTGGCATTGGGCTCATGATTATGTAGTGTGTCTTCACCACTGATATGGAGCTAAAGTTGGCAACATCAGTTCATTTTGTTTAGAACTTAGGACAAATATTAATAACTTGGTATTGAACTTGAAGAAGTTGATAGCTGAATCTGTACAAACAAATGCTTAATTAAGATAGAAAGAGTACTAGTTTCTTAGTCATGGGAGATGCCTGTGAATATATGTATATATTGCAGCATGCGCCTTCTTTCCCCCCTTGACATTACAAGAGAAGTATCGTCCAACTGAGGGTTGTTGAAGTGTGTAACCATCTCATCTAAAAGCTTAAGTTTTTAAAGATAGCATACTTTTATTTACTTAATTATGTCTTCAACACGCCCTCTCACATGCAGGTTTGATTCTTTTTTATGAGCCAAGCACGTGAAAATTTATTTTGATATTGGGTGACGGTGAGCCTCGAACCGAGGACCTCAGCCTGGCTGTGATACCATGTTGAAGTGTGTGACCATCTCATCTAAAAGTTTAAGCTGTTAAGCTGTTAGGGAGAACATATTTTTATTTACTTAATTATGTCTTCAACGGTAATCATTATATATGATCTAGACTGGACTTAAAGCAAACAACATTGACGAATAGTTGTCAAAGTTAAGCAAATCTTTCTATTTGGAGGGACAGTGGTTGGTACCACTTTGCAAGTGTATATTATGTATGTAACAACTACTAGCAACTGCCTGGAGAATATGATAATAGTGTATGAGGAGTAGAAAAAAGTACTCCTTATGTCTATATCTCAGTGATAATATCTTTGTTTGTTATTCAAATGTTTCTTCTTGCATCATGTAAGGCAACACTAAGAACAACAAGATTTTTATTTGAAGCTTTATAATGTAGAATTACTTCTCAGTTGAATTTTTGTAGTTCTTCCAATAGGACAACTAAAAATATTATGTGGTTCTTATTGGTATAATCTCATAAGAATAAGATTCACTCATAGTGTTGGTCTCAATTTCAACAAGTTCTATTTAGTCGCAGCATCTCAAAAGTTTTTAAAAAAAGAAGCTGAGATAATGCATTATTTGTTGAAACTAAATACTGGAGACTATTGACAGAAATAGTATGGGCTGAGAAGCGGCAGAGACACCTCGTTCTTGAGAAAAGTCTGTTGTGAATGTGATAAATTTTGAGCATCTCAGAATTCAAAATATGAAAAAATGGTGTAGTTTAGTATCATGCTTATGTTTAATCATTCATGTACAGCGATCCAGTTAGGAGTAGCAGATGAATTATTGCTAATCCTGTTATCTGGGATCAGTTCTTTTTGTATTAGCTTGTTTATATGTTTAGAAGATTATTTCTCTTTGACTGCTGGTATTGGGAAATTGTTGTACTCAATCTTACAACTGAGTGATCGATTAGAACTGAGCAATTAGTACCTTTAATTGCTCAGTTTAGCTGTACATCATTGAATCTTTTGCTGGCAACATTACCTATGTTTTATGCAGAGAATTCTTTTGTATTGCTCCCTACTTCACACATGAGTAAGTATGGTGATTGGAGCATGTTTTAACCGATCTATTTTCATCATTCTTAATACAGATATGACCTTCCTTGGACTATCACAAAGTATATACCTTTTTATGGTGGACCGGATTACCATGACTACCATCACTACGTTGGGGGCCAAAGCAAGAGTAATTTTGCTTCAGTTTTCACCTACTGCGATTACATTTATGGAACTGATAAGGTG